GCAGGAAATTAAATGAGAGAGGTTAATAAATTTCCCAGTGTTACACAGACAGTAAAGAGAACCAGCATTTGAATTCAGAATTCTTTTCCTTAGCACTAACTTAGCTAGAAAGTTATCTTGTAAAAGTCACAGTATAAAAAGAGAGAGAGAGAGAGAGAGAGAGAGAGAAAGTATATACGTATACACATACATACATACATAATACATACATTCATACAGAAAGCTGTGGGAAGTCCAGGGGACGAAGTGACTAACCTTGTCTGGGAGAGCTGGGGGAGGCTTTACAGTTTCCCTCATAGTTTTTCTCAGATCTTGTGGAGATAAAAAGTGGCTGCTTAATTTCAAAGTTAAGAGATGGAAACAAGTTCAACCTACTTGTTTTTATATATGATGAAACTGATACTTAGAAAGGCATTAACTCTATGTTTCATAGTAGGTTATTAGTTGAGAAACTAGACTAGGACATTTGAGCTGAAGATCCAGACTTGGTTATTCAGTGTGTAAGTCAGATTAATGACTGTTTACTGCTTGCTTGTACCATAGAAGGAACTACTCAATGAGCCTGAGCCTAATTTTTCTTTTTCTTTTTTTTTCCTTTTTTTTTTTTTTGAGGTAGAGTCTCATGTAGCCCAGGCTGGCCTTGAGCTTACTGTGTCACTGAGAATAACTTTGAGCTGGTTTTCCAGTCTCTATCTCCCAAGTGTTTGGCTTACAGGTGTGTTCATGCCACCATGCCTGGATTTATTTAGGTAATAGTACAATATAATGCGCAGTATAGACTGTGTAGGCAAAGGAAGGAAGATATGTATAGACTACAGTAGGCTAAGGAGCGAGCTGAAGGAAAGATGGTATTGTGGAAATCTGGGTGACCAGTGTGAACATATGGGATGCCACTGTTAGGTGGTTGGCTAACTAGACAGGTGCTTTATTGCTGGCTAACTGCTTCATGTGAGCAACTGAAGATAGGAAAAATTCAGTCATGTGGGACCTATTGCTGGTCCTCAATATTACTATAAATTTAAAGTAATGATGAATGTAAATACTATTTTAAGATATCTATAATAATGTAATATGTGAGACTATGATTTCCGTTGGTGACAAAAACCATAGGTACTGTTAGTATTGTAGTTGATTGCATATATATTGCATGTAACCATATATTTGAAAGAAATACTAATTTGCAATAAGATAATATTGAAAATGATGATGTAGGTTGGGTATGATGATTCATGCCTATACCTGGCATTTTGGAGATAGAGGCAGGATGATCATCAAAAGTTTGTGTAGATGAATTTCGTGTCCCACCTGGTCCTGCAGCCTTCAGTCCCAAATAAACACACTGAGGCTTATATTAATTAGAAACTGTTTGGCTGATGGCTCAGGCTTCTTATTGTCTAGCTGTCTCTTAATTATTAACCTATTTGTATTAATCTAAGTATTTGCATGTGGTCTTGGCTTACTGGAGAATGCCCAGACCTGTTACTCCTTCAGTGGTTACATGGCATTTTTCTGGTGTCTCCTCTCTGTGTCCTCTCCCCAGAATCCTCCTAGTCTGGTAGCCATGCCTATACTTCCTGCCTGGCTATATCCTGCCTGTCCATTGGCCGAAACAGCTTTATTCATCAACCAATAAAAGAAAAATATATTCGCAGCATACAGAAGGACATCCCCCACTAAGTTTGGGGCCAAGCATCTGGGCAGTGATGGTGGGCACCTTTAATCCCAGCACTCAGAAGGCAGAGGCAGGTGGATCTCTGTGAGTTCAAAGCCAGTCTGGTCTACAGAGCAAGTTTCAGGACAGGCTCCAAAGATACACAGAGAAACCCTGTCTCAAAAAACAAAAAAACAGAAACAAAAAAAAGTTTGATGCCAAGGGCTAGAGAAATAGTATGTGCTGCATTTTTAGAGGACTAGAGTTTACTTCCCAGCACTCACATCAGGTTGCTCACAACTACCTATAATTACAGCCACTGCTTCTGGCTAACTCACACTCATGTCCCATATTCATCTCTACACACACACACACACAGAATTAAAAATAAATCTTAAAAAACTTGTTTTCAAAATGAGTTCTCTGCCAGCCATGGCTATGTAGTAAGACCCTGTGTCAAAAACAAAATAAAGTAAAGCAGATCAGTAGGATCAGAAGTTTAATAACCATTCTAAGTTAGGTAGAGAATTGAGGGTCAACTTTGGGCTACATGAGACTGTCTCCAAATTCAAACTCAAACCAAACCCAAACAAAACAAAGCACAATAGAAGTTTTTGTTCCTTACCAGACATGGTGGATCATGTCTGTAATCCCACAACTTTGGAGGCTGCGGCAAGATGATTGCCATGAGTTCAAGGCCAGCCTAGGCTACAGACTGTTACCCTTGTCTCTAAAACCCCAGAACAGATAACAAAATTCCCTAACAAATTTCTGCTGTTTGTGTAGAAGGTTTGAGGCCTTGATGAAGGGAATGGTTTTCTAGGTCTTCACAGAACTTGGGCTCTAAGTCCTTGTGGGTTCTTTGGTTTCCTGATGGGTAGCCTTTGAGTCACATTGCAGAGCGGCTTCATGAGCACATTGTGGTTCATGGCTATCTGTGGGAAATGATTCTCAGAAAACCCAGCAGCTCTGAGTGTCAGGCTTTTGGGGAGGAAAAAAAGATATCAAACTTAGCTTACTATGGCTTTGTTTTTGTTTTACTGTTTATAAAAAAGTGGTGAAATACTAAAATAACAAAATATAAAATGTTCATCTGCACAAAGAAATAAACTAGTAACAATATAGAGTTTTCTTTATTAAGTTAAGGACACTTTGTATGACTTTCTGATATAAACATAGTACTTTTTTGTTTTGTTTTGTTTTGAACAGGCTTTTTCTATGTAGCTTTGGAGCCTGTCCTGGAACTCACTTTGTAGACCAGGCTGACCTCAAACTCACAGAGATCCGCCTGCCTCTGCCTCCTGAGTGCTGGAATTAAAGGCACAAGCCACCACTGCCTGGCTAGTACTTTGTATATATATTTTCTTCCCTGGGATCTTTGTGAAGGAAGATAGGAGTGATTGTCCTTTGGTTTTGTGTTGAGCCTACCCACTGTTGAAGTTTGTTGGAAAAACAGGGATATTTTTCAAATATCTCATATTTTGGGCCTTTCCTCATCCTTTGGAGGTAGTACTGTTTACTCAGGATACTACATTTTATCTAAGTTCAGATCCTTCTTTAATCTTTTTGTTTTGTTTTTTGAGACAGGGTTTCTCTGTGTAGCTCTGGCTGTCCTGGAACTCTGTAGATCAGGCTGGCTTCAAACTCACAGAGATCTGCTTACCTCTGTCTCCAGACTGCAGCGATTAAAGACCTGTGCCACCACTGACACCTGGTTCTCTTTAATCTTTTATTTATCCTCATTTTTGCCATCTTCAAGAAGCATTTGTAGCTGAGAATTTGCCTTCTAGACCGAATAGCTCAAAAGGACAGTCTCAGAGTAATAACTGGGAATTTGGACCCATGCTGTTTTTAACTAAAACCATTACTCATTGGTGTGCTCCAAAGTGAGCAAATACCACTCACTGATCTGGTCCTCAGAACCTTTGTCTGCTATAGCTTTGCTGTAGTTATATTGACCAAGGAGTCTGAATAGTACATATAGCCACTCATTACAAAGCTGTGTTGGGAATCGGCTCAGTGGTTAGAGTGCTTGCCTAGCATGCATGAGGCTCTGGGTTTCAGTGTCCAGCACTGCATAAACTGGGCATGGTGGCTCATATCTGTAATCCTGCAGCTCAGTGATTACAGACAAGAGGATCAGAAATTCAAGGTCACCTTTGGCTATATAAGGAGTTTGAAGCTAGCTTGGAATAAATGAGACAATTAACAGTTTTAATACAAGGCTTGGTATATGGCATACCATACGTATTATAAAGGTTGTGCATTTGAATTAGATTTTGTTAAGTAGTTTGGATTCTATTCTAGTTTGCTAGGTGCTTGAAAGTTGAAAATTATTTTTCTTGGAGTTGCTAAAGAAATAAGCTTCATGCTGGGTGGTGGCAGTACACGCCTTTAATCCCAGCATTCAGAGGCAGAGGCACATGGTTGTCTGTGAGTTTGAGGCTACCCTAATCCATAGAGTGAGTTCCAGGACAGCCAGGGCTACACAGAGAAACTGTTTAAAAAAACTAAACAAACAAACAAAAAACCCAAAATAAAAAACAAAACAAAGAAACAAAAAAACAAACCACTGATTTGAAAGTTCATTGTTTAAGATTTTCATATTCACTTGGCAAATGAATCTTGTATTAATTTTGAAAAAGTAAAATAAAAGGTGGATGAGATGGTTTAGTGGGTAAAAGCTCTTGCCACACCAACCTGGAACTCACAATGAAGCAGAGAACCAACTCTTTTAAGTTGTCTTCTGACCTCCACATACATCTGTGACAACTACACCTGCACACCACACACCACACACAACACACACACCATTAATAAAATAAAACAAATATTCAACTCCAGATCAGTTTGGGACCAACAAACTCATTTTATTTGGAAGAAGTATTAATTAATTCATCATTGTGTGTGAGCATGATGTATGTGTGTGTTGGGAGAATGGTGCATGTGTAGAGATGAGAGGAAAACGTTTGGTAATAAATTCTTTAGTAGTGTCCTTGTTCGTTTTTTTTCCAACTTGACACAAGCTGTAGTCATCTGGGAAGGGGAACCTTAACTGAGAAAATACCTCTATCAGATTGCCTATAGATAAGTCTGTGGTACACTTAATGGTTAGTGAAGGCCCAGATCACTGAAGGAGATGCCATCCTTGGGTTAGTGGTTCTGGGATGTAGAAGAAAGCAGTTTGAACAACCCAGTAAGCCTCTTTATTCCATGGTTTTTGCTTTAGTATATGCTTTGGCTTTTCCATGATGGACTCTATCTAACCTGTGATGGTGTTTTGTCATAGCAATAGAAAGCAACTAAGACATGTGGATTCCAGGGGTTGAATTTAGGTTGCCAGGCATTGCACGTGCTTTTATTGACTGAGCTATTTGGATAGTCCATGTATGTAGGATTTTAAAGAGGCCAGGCTCTTATAATTACAATTCCTCAGAAGAAAATGATTAAAAGTGCTGGGATATCTAGAATGTAGAGGCCCTGGGTTTGATCCCCAGAATTGGGAGGAGGAGGAAAAATAAGAGTAAAGAGTGGTAGGGAAAACTAATTCCACAAAGGACTGCTGAGAGGAGGGGCAGTTGGGAAATGAGGGGTAGAGCTGGATAGATCCCTAGACAAATTGTGATGATTGGTTTTGGTTTTCAAAAATGTCAGATTTGGCCACACTATGAAATTAGGGGATTTAGAGTTCTAGCCCCTTTCTTTACTAACTGTATAGACCTATTGAAGAGGCAGTCATTTCTCTCTGCCCTGGTTCCTTTATTTGTCCTAAAAATCGAGAACTTTGAAGCTTTATAAGTTACAACATGATGTGAGGTATTTGGGTCCTCTCAGCCTTGTTTCTTGTGGGCCCAAAACTTCAGTGAGACTCTGAAGGTCTTCACCTCCAAGGGTAGTTGCATCTGCTGTCTTTCTTCAGAAGTAGAATCTGGGTGTAATGGAACAAAGCTTTTATCTCAGGCTTACTTTTGGCCTTGAGAAAATGGTTAATAAAATCTGGTTGCCAGTATTTGACCTTATATCTGGGTTGAACTTTCCCCCTTTTTTTCTGGATATAACCATTTTCTTAGGCCCACCTGTAGTCTTGAAATAGTTGAGCAGATGGGCTTGGTCCTTAATTGTGTTGATTACTTATTGGTGCATAGCAAATCATGACAAAATTTCCAGGCTTAAAATAAGCATTTTTATCTCTTTGTTTTTGCAGGTCAGGAATCTGAGTTGTAGCTTAACCCAGGTGCTTGTGTGTTGGCTTCTTTCATGAGGTTACAGTCAAGCTGTTGGCTAAGTCTAAAGGCTCAAATAGGACAAGAGTATGTGCTTCCAAGCTAATTTACATTGCTGTTGGCTGGCTTTGGTCCCTTGTCACATGGGCTTTTCTATTGAGCAGTCTTATGACATGAGACTTGGCTTCCTTCTCCCAGAATAAGTGATAAGGGCATAGGGAGAGGATACTCTGGATAAATGGCTCAAACTTGTTATTGTCTAGCTTTAGAATTATTATGCTATCATCTCTTCCATAATTGTTAGGACAAAGTCATTAAGCTCAGCCCATATTCAGTGATGGATCACACAGACTATGAAGACCAGAAGGACAGAGATCATTGGAGCCATCTTTAGCACACATCTGGTACAAGAGCCTTAGAAACTATGCTTTCTAGGTGCTATAGCCTTTTGAATTTTCCTTTACTTCTCTTGTTTATTTTTAGAGTCTGTTCATCTGTTTGCCTGACTTTTTTTTTTTTTTTTTTTTTTGGTTTTTTGAGACAGGGTTTCTCTGTATTGTTTTGAAGGCTGTCCTGGAACTCGCTTTGTAGACCAGGCTGGCCTCGAACTCACAGAGATCCACCTGCCTCTGCCTCCCAAGTGCTGGGATTAAAGGCGTGCACCACCAACACCCGGCTTTTTTTTTTTTTTTTTTGACACAAGGTCTGGTATAGCTAAGGCTCGCCTGAATTCCCAATTTTCCTGCTTCTACCTCTAAAATTCTGGCATTATAGACCTTTGCCACCTTGCCATGAATTTAGAACCAATTTTTTTAAAGGTGGGGTTATAGTTCTGGCTGGTCTGGAACTTGCTATTTGGACGAGATTGGTCTCAGACTCACAGAGATTCCTTGGTTTCTGTCACCCAAGTGGTGGAATAAAGTACACTTTACTTTATTTGTACATCACCATTCCCAGAAACATGAGAATCACTAAAAAATTGTTTATTTATTTACTTATTTCATTTTTTCAAGACAGGGTTTCTTTGTGTACCCTTGGCTGTCCTAGAACTAGCTCTGTAGACCAGGTGGACCTCAAACTCACAGAGGTCTGCCTTTTTCTGCTTTCCAAGTGCTGATATGAAAGGTGTGTACCACCACCTAGTTGGATTATTTATTATTACTCTGTGTGTGTGTGTGTGTGTGTGTGTGTGTGTGTGTGTGTGTGTGTTTATGCCACAGTGTGCTTGTGGAGGTCAGAGGATGACTTTGGGAAGCTGTTTGCACTAGGGTTTTGGACATTAAAATTGGGTCACTAGGCTTGCATGGCAAGTTCTCTGAGTCTGCTGAGCCACCTCACTGGCCTTTCCTCCTAGGAATTTAGAGTTTTTTGTGTTTCCTTTGGCATCACTCCTTTTGATTCATATGTGACTTCTTTCCCCCTCTCCTTGCTTTTCTTAGACCCAGTCCTAATTAGCTTTTTATCTTAGGCTCTGGTCCTGCCCTCCCAACAACTTTTTGACAAATGGCGTTGGAGTCTCTGCTGCTACAACTTGGTTTCTATACATAAATTTAGAGGTATAACTGAAGTGACTTTTACACATTGACAGATGAAAAACCTACTCTGGTAGCACATGCTTTTAATCTCAGCAGTTAGGAGGCAGAGGTAAGCAGATCTCTGGGAGTTTGAGTCCAGCCTGGTCTACAAAGAGAGTTCAGGCAAACTAGGACTGACTACATTGTGTGATTCTGTCCTGAAAAGAAAAGAAAAACAGTTACTCTGTCATTTTGGCCATTGGCATTAGGGACTGAGATTTCACATCCCAGTATGTAATACCCGGAAGGGGGTTTAGGTAGCATGTCTTATAAATGTCTTATTTTATGTATGAGAAGAACAAATTTACCTGATGTATTGCTAAGCCAGTAATAGTAGCTGTTTCTTTGATTCTCACTTAGTGTTGTTCCCACGCTGTGGGGGAGCCTCTCAACTATATCATGGATAGCTTCCACAGTGAAGTCTCCAGGACCCAAACAGAAGAGAGGTCCAACTTCTGCTTCTTAGGTCCTGCCCAGCTGGAAAACATTTATATAAGGTTCATAAAAATAAGTCCAGCAGTATTATTGCATGTGATGACTAATATCTGTGCTCTGTACTACCCTCTTGGCAAACAATAGATCTCTGTCCAGGGATACAAAATAGACTTCTGAAGGAGGTGGGCCTTATGTCATATGTCTCCCCATCCTTTGACTCAGTGGGTCGTACTATGGATTTGAAGCTTCCACAGACAGCAGTGATGTGTAATATATTAAGCCTTGTAGGGTTACTTGTGGTCACCTGGAAAGTTCCAAGGAGAAGCTTTGTTGGCATTGGGAATCTAATGAACTCTTTCCTGTTACTACAACTTGCTAGGGCAGGTGAGGGTCATTAGGGCAGACTATAGCTCTGTCATGGTTTTTAGAGTGGAGTAGGTTGTTTTGTGTGAGAGAATATGAAAGGAAAAGACTGAAATGAGCCAGCAGCAGTATAACTTTGTTTTCTGCTGGGTAACTGAGAACAGAGAAGGTTCAGGTGCTGCAGTCTCTGTTGCTTTCTGAACTCAGGGGTCCAGCTCCAGAGAAGTTTACTCACTTTCTTTCTCTGTTCTCTTCATTGCATTCTTGGCACATTTCTTTATCTTGGTCTACCAAATACTTGATTATTATTTTTTTTTTTTGAGACAGGGTCTCACTGTGTAGTTCTTGCTGCTCTGGAACTCACTGTATAAACCAAGCTGTCCTCGAACTCACAGACATACAGATTTGCTTGGCTGTTTCTCCCAGGTGCTGGTATTAAAGGTGTGGTGGCTAAATATGCTATTTACTGCTTCTCTTATATTTATTTATTTATTTTTGCTTTTGACTTTTGAAGACAGGGTTTCACTGTGTATCTCTGGCTCTTCTGGTACTCACTCTGTAGACAAGGCTGGCCTCAAACTTTCAGAGATCTGCCTGACTTTCCCTTTTGAATGCTAGGATTAAAGGTGTGCACCACCACTGCCCATCTTTTTGATAATTTATTTTTATTTTATGTGCATTGGCATTTTGCCTGCATGTATATCTGTGTGAGGGTGTTGGATCCCCTGGAATAGGAGTTACAGACAGTTGTGAACTGTCATGTGGGTGTTGGGAATTAAACCCAGGTCCTCTGGAAAAGCATTTTATGCTTTTGACTACTGAGCCACCTCTCCAGCCCCCCTCTTATTTTTTATTATGTCAATTACTTCCAGAATGTTTTCCTCCATCTCGTTTGTTCTTATCTAGTTTCTCCATCCTCAGGGCTAGCTATGACATACCTCTCTCATCGCTGGTCAGAGTCTGGTGGCACTTACCATCTCCAGTACTGTGTACCCACGTCACACTGGGCTTATGCTTCTGCATTGAGAGGCAGTGTTACGTGTTGTCAGAGAACTGGGGCAAGCCACAGTATTGCAAGACTGCAAGGCTTGGCAGGTAGAAGAAGCCTAGTACTTGTTAAAACAAAACAAATACTTGATATTGGCTTGTTACCTTTCTAATGATATGACTTCAGTTATAGTACCTTCATATTGGAAAATGGACTTCAGAGAGAGCTATTGTATATGAGGGTTTTAAAACCAATTTTAAAATCCTCTTGTTTGTGTATTTCCATGTCTTTTGAGGGTAAGGGTTTGATTTGTTGACCATGGTGTGTAAAAGTATCTAGCTTATTCCTGTGTCTGTCACAGTGCTGGTCAGAGAACATGTGTTTCATAGATATTTGTTGAATAAACAAATGAATACATAATAATGAATTAATCCCTGGATTGGGTAAGAGGGTAGTGAGAGCACCAAATAAATCAACATTGGTTTCTAAAAAGGTTTAGGTAAGCATGCCTTGGGATTAGAGGTTGAATTTGCATGGCTGGTGTCTTGATGCTTTTGTGGGCATTGTTTTCTGCCTGGTCTAGTACTTCATCTTTATTTCTTGTTTTTTTTTTTTTTTCTAGACAGGGTTCCTCTGTCGGTTTGGAGGCTGTCCTGGAACTAGCTCTTGTAGACTTCATCTTTATTTCTTAAGTGCCTAAAGAAGCTGTGCTTAATGACAGCTTCAGTCATCCTCTGGGGAACATTTGCCAATGTCTCTCTCTGGTTGGCAGTTTTTGTTTGGAACAGTCATGACTACCTTGATCAAGTGGCTGCAGCAGGAAAGGAGGAAGGATAGGCCTCAGGAGGACATGACCCCTCTGGACAAGGCTTCCTTGGGTCCTGCTGCTCTATCTTTGGTTCTGTGGTCTATATGGGTTTATTTCAGGTTAGACATGCCACAACCAGATAAACAGAATGAACTTTTAACTACTTTTCTTAGCCTGGCTTGTGGGCTGGAGGAGGGAACCTTCTTTTATGGTCTCCACTGCTGTGCTGGTTGTGTAGAAAGGAGATGGGAGAGTCATGTGTTGATTGCTTTTAAAATGTTATCAGTGATGCTGAGAACTCCTTGGACCTTTCAAGGCATTAAGGAGGGGCCTTTCTGGACTTCATGGAAGATTTCAAAAGAAGACAGCCCATTGTGCTGTCTGCATGGCCCAAACAGAACAAACCTGCCCCTTTCCTCTGTTACCCATATTCCCAAAGTTCCTGGCTGCCTTGTGTTGAGCTCTGGTCTAGGTAATGACCAGAGATCTCCCTGGCAGGCAGGCAGGCAGGCTTCCAAATCTCATGTGTGTCTAATTTTCAAAGTGTGATCCAGTAGTTCTGTACTTGTTTGGCCTCTCTGGGTTATCTCAGGCCTCTCAAGAAGCTCTCAGAACTCTCATCACTACAGTGAATGTTAAAACAAATGTGCCTATGTTTGCCAAGTTCTCAGAGCCAGATTCTAAAATATACCAGCCAGGGAAGATGGATGCCTGCATCCCTAGGTTAGAAAGAAATCTGTGCTTTGTGTTTGTATGTTGTTGGAAGATCAAATCTCCATTGATCTTTTTTTGAGAAACTTGTTAACAGGGGTAAAGGTCACTGGAACTCATACTTCATATCTCTAAAGAGATAAATATTCAATTCACACAATTCAAATAACTCACCTGGGCAGTGGTGGTCCTTGCCTTTAATCTCAGCATTCAGGAGGCAGAGACAGGTGGATTTCTGTGAGTTCCAGATCAGCCAGGTCTGAGTTCCAGGATAGCCAGGGCTACATAGAGAAACCCTGTTTGAAACCAAATGATAAGAATGATGAGCCGGGCGGTGGTGGCGCACGCCTTTAATCCCAGCACTCGGGAGGCAGAGGCAAGTGGATCTCTGTGAGTTCGAGGCCGGGCTGGACCGACAGCCTCCAAAACAATACAGAGAAACCCTGTCTCGTAAAAACCAAAAAAAAAAAAAAAAAAAAAAAAAAAAAAGAATGATGATGGTAGCTAGGATTTGTTGAGCTTCTGGGTAAAGTTTTACAACTATTTAACAACCCTTACTGGTCTATATTGTTCACTGTGTTTCTGAGAATTTAAGGTAATTTTCTTAGGATGACTAAATTGGGATTTGAATTGAGCTTTATCTGATCCCAAGACCAAAAAGAATTCTATTTTTGTTTAATAACTCCCATGGAAGGAAAGAAACTGCTATCTGGATTTAAGTAAAGATAAGCATTTTGACCAGAAACAATACAACTGTTAATGGTATTAGTTTGTTCCACCATGAAGTGTCCTGAAAGAAGCTAAAATTAGGAGTTTGGGGGTTGTAGCGAGAGAAAGATCGACTGTTTTACTTACAAATTTTGAGTAGGTAGTATTACTTGGTGAGGTGTTTAGCTGCTGAGTGGTTCATATTCAGTTTGTATCTCTCAAAAAGTAGTACTCTGGTTGGGTTGTTCTAGATAGGAGAATTAGGATAGTGACTGGATACACCATGCAGTGTCTTTACTTTAGTTAACATTTGACATAGTGTTATATGTGACAATCACTATCCTATAGAAGTATTTAGTATAATAGCAGGAGCCAGTTCTATTATTTTATTTTTTAAATAAAGGTTCTTATCTAGCCCAGGATGGCTTCAAATCCTATGTGTAGCTCTCCTGATCTTCTTGCTTCTACCTCTCAAGTCCTAGGATGACAGGTGTGTGCCATCACTCCCTGTTTATTTGGTATGAGGATCAAGCCCAGGGCTTTGTCTAACCAACTGAGCTCCCTGTTCTGTATTAGGAATAAGCTAAATACTCGATACTCCGTGTGTGTGTGTGTGTGTGTGTGTGTGTGTGTGTGTGTGTGTGTGTGTGTGTGTGTGTGTGTGATGGTGGCCAGAATACAATCTTGGGAGTGCTGTCTACCATATGCTGACCACCATATTTTGAGACAGGATTTCTCATTGCCCTTGAACTCACCAAATAGACTAAACTAGTTAGTCACCAAGCCCCAGGATCTGTCTATCTTTAACTCACAGTGTATTACCAATGTGTGCTACCATGACTCTCTCACCTGACTTTTTTTTTTGGTTTTTACGAGACAGGGTTTCTCTGTATTGTTTTGGAGGCTGTCGGTCCAGCCCGGCCTCGAACTCACAGAGATCCGCCTGCCTCTGCCTCCCGAGTGCTGGGATTAAAGGCGTGCACCACCAACGCCCGCTCATCTGACATTTTTAAGAATTACATTTTATTCATTATTTTGTGTATATGTATGTATGCATGTGGGCACATGTGTGTTGTGGTCAGAGGACAGGAATAGATTCTTTCCACTATGTGGGTCCTGGGGACAGAGCTAAGGTTGTCAGATTTGGAGGTAAGATGCTGAGCTGTCTTTTTTTTTTAAGATTTATTTTTATTTAAATTTTATTCTCCCTTTTTTGTTTTGTTTTGCTTCTTGTTTTTTTTTTTTTTTTTTGAGACAGGATTTGTATGTGTAGCCCTGGTCATCCTGGAACTCCATCTGGAGACTAGGTTGGCCTCAAAGACTCAGGGATCTACCTGCCTCTGCTTCTGGAATCCTGGGATTAAAGGTATGAACCCCTGCCTGACTTTATTTTTATTTAAGTTTTAGAAGATTTACTTATTATTTTGTAATATGAGTGTTTTGCTTGCATGTTTACATGTGCATCATGTGTAGGCCTGGTGCCCATTGAGGTCAGAAGTGACTGAAGTTAAACAAGGTTGTAAGCTACCATATAGGTGCTGGAAATTTAATCTGGGTCTTCTGCAACAATAACAGACCCTCTTAACTATTGAGCCAACTCTTCAACCCTAATTTTATTTTTTGTGACAGAGTCTCACTACATATCCCTGGCTGTCCAGGAACTCACTAAGCAGACTAGGCTGGCCTAAAACTAGAGATGTGTCTGCCTCTACCTCCTGGGATTAGAGACATACACCAATACTCCTGGCTCTTGTTTTTATTATTTTTTATGTTTACTTATGTGTCTGTATGTGAATATGTGCACATACGTGGTGATGCCTCTGGAAAAAGAAGTGTAGAATACCATTGAATTGGAGTTGTAGACGGTGGTAGTGAACCTACCTCTGCAGGTAGTAGGAACTGAACTGGAGTCTTCTGGAAGAGCAGTAACCACTCTAAGGCGCTGAACTATCTCTTGAGTCCCTGGCTCAAAAAACAAAACAAAACAAAAAACCCAAACAAACAAAACACCAAAAATAAAAACAAGCAAACAAACAAACAAAGACATGGCTTCTGGGTGTCAAACTTAGGTCTTTGTGCTTTCAAGTCAAATTCTTTAGTGGCTGATCTATCTCCCCAGTTCACATGATCTTTTTAATTTTCATAACAGGTCTCTTATTGTGCAAGGTGCTATCTAGACTCAATGACTTGTGATATTTGTATATATATATATACATATCTACATATGTATATATATACATCTATATATGTATCTATCTATCTGTCTATATATATATATATATATACACACACACACACACATATATAAATTTCTCTCTCTATATATACTTTGTTTTGAGACAGGGTTTCCTCTGGCTGTCCTAGAACTTGCTTTATAGACCAGGCCAGGCTAGCCTCAAACTTACAGAGATTCACCTGTTTCTGCCTCCCAAGTACTGGATTTCAAGGCATGCACCCCCACACCTGGCATGATATGTATTAGTAGTCCTGTTGGAAGAAAGAAGGGAGAAGCTTTGTGGAGGCTTAGTGGGCCTTCTGGTACTAAAGGCAGAAATATAAGGAAGGTTGAGGGAAACATTCCAGTTAGAGCCAATATTATGAGTAAAGGTATGGAGAGAGAAAAACTGAAGTTTTGGGAAACATTAGTTCAGATTGCTTGTATTGTGGTAGCTGTGCAGAAAAGCACTATAAAATAAGTGCAAAAGGTTCGTTGAAGAAAGGTAATGGAGGTTCCGAATGTTAGGTTAAAGAGTTTAGACGAGTGTTTCTCAACTTGTGGGTTGTGACCTCTGGTGTTGAATGACCCTTCTATAGGGGTCACATATCAGATATCCTGCATATTTGGTATGATTGATGTTTTCATTACGATTCATAATAGTAGCAAAATTACAGCTATGAAGTAACAACAAATGATTTTATGGTTGGGAGGGGCACCACACCATGAGGAGCTGTATTAAAGGGTCACAGCCTCAGGAAGGCTGAGAATCACTGATTTAGAGTTTATTCCTACGCAGTGAGAAATCCTTGCAGATTTTGAGGGAAGTGACAAGGCCCAAGTTGTGCTTTAGGAAGATTGAATCTCATAGAATATTCATAAACCATTGGTGAGAGTAAGATTGAAGGCAGAAAGCTTGAAAGGAGACTTGGAAATTGTCCCTAAGCAGAGGAGATAAGAGTCTGCTGTGGAGGCAGAATAGGTAGACTTAAGTATAGTCAGAGAAAGAAAGAAGAGTTGAAGCCACACCAGTGTTTTGAATGCAGTAAGGAGATTTATTGTGCCATTAACAGAAAACATGGCAGCCAGGAATGCCAAGTGGTAGGGCCATTGACCTTATGTGAAGTGCTGGGCAAGGGGCCATACTCCACAACGTATTCCTGGAATCACTTTTTAGCTATTAAGTTAGCTAATAAAGATGGGCCTTTGTTCCAGGAACATCAGAAAGGGTCATGGAGGTAGATGGTCCTGAATTCAGCCCCGTGCTTTGTCGTTTTCTATTTGTTGTTGTTTTTTAGATAGGACCTCATTAGCCCAGGCTGGCCCCAAACTCATGTAGCAGACACTTGAAATTTAAGAGCACACTACCTTTTCCAGTAAAAGGTTGAAAGAGCTTGGATCCCCTCACCTCTCCTCCTCTTCCTTCCCCTCCCCCTCCCCCTCCCTTTCATTTCTTTTTTCATTATGTAACACTGCCTGTCCTGGAACTTAATATGTAGACCAGGCTAGCTCTGAATTTACTGAGATTTACCTGCCTCCTGAATATGGAGATTAAAGGTATGCACCACCATGCCTGGCCATACTTTCTCTCCCTTACCCTGTGTGAGAATGTCTCATTATGTAGCCCAAGGCTATCATGACCTTTCTGCCTCAGCTTCCTCCTGGTTCTAGAACTATACACCATCATACCTGCCCTTTTCTTTTCTTTCCATTCTCTTTTGTTCTGTCATTCATTTGTTAATTTGTTATTTTTCTTTCAGCCTCTCATTCTGTAGCCTAAGATGACCTAGAATTCATTGCCTGGGCTGGCCTGGTACTCTTAACAATCTTTAATCTCAGTCTTCCAAGTGCTGGGATTATACTGGTGAGCCAACATACTCTGTTACATTTTTTCTTTTTAAAGACAGTGTAGCCTTGGCTGTCCTAGAACTCGCTCTGTAGACCAGGCTGCCTCTAGTTCACAGAGATCCGCCTGCCTCTGCTTCCCAAGTGCCACCATCACCTGACTTTAAAAAAAATTAATTGATAACAGGAGAATGACTGTATTACATTGACATTATGTCTGATTCAGTTGTAGAGTAGAGGACTTCAGCTCCTGAGGAAATGTGAAGTTCATTGGCTTTGGAGTATTATATCTTCTTTATTTTAAAGGATTTTATTTTTACTTTTCACTTATTGCCCCCCTCACCCCATGTGTGTGCACTTGCAGGTGAACATGTTTGAATGCTAATGGTAGCTGGGTGTCAGATCCCCTGGATCTGGAGTTAAAGGCTGTTGTAACCCCCCAATGTGGGTACTGGGAACTGAACACAGGCCTCTTTGAGAACAGTATGCAATCTAACCACCATCTTCCCAGTCCCATACAACATTTTAATTAAGTTGACAATATTTTAATTAAGTTTAATTATATCCCAGACTGTTCTCAACTCACTATGTAGCTGAGGATGATGACCTTGAATTTGTGAGCTTCCTGTCTCTACTTGAATTCTGGGACTGTAGGCATGTACCACCACACTTGGTTTTGTTTTGCTTGTGTTTTGTTGTTTTCTTTTGGTGTTGGGGCCTGAACCCAGGGCCTTATGCATGCTAGGCAGGTACTCTACCACTGTATCCCTAGCCCTCTTTTGAGTTTTGAAATCAGTTCTATCTCTGAGGACCTCCCCTTTAAAATATAAATATTAGGGCCAATGAGATGGCTCAGTAGGAAAAACACTTGCTGTACAAACTTGAGGATCTTAGTTCCAATTCCTGGAATCCATATAAAAGTGGGAGGAGACAACCAACTCCCCAAACACCCCCAATTCCTCCCCCCCCAGTTTAAAATGCAAGTTCAGCCAGGCATGGTGGTACACACATTGAATCCCATAGTAACCCCAGCACTGGGAGGTAGAGGCAGTGGATCTCTGTAAGTTCCAGGCCTGGTCTACATAGTGAGTTCTAGGACAACCAATGCTATAGAGAGAAACCCTGTCTAAAAACAAACACACACACACACACACACACACACACACACACACACACACAAAATCAAGTACAAGCATTTTTAAAATAGTAAAATCCATAAGTTAATGTAAATATTTAAAACAATACAAAAATACAAGTGCTATTTTGATGAGGTTACTTTTAAAAAAAGGTTTATGTATTTATTTTTTATGTATATGAGTGCTCTATCTGTGTATATAAATTTATGTGAGAAACGGGCACCAGATCTCATTATAGGTGGTTATGAGCCACCATGTGGTTGCTGGGAATTGAACTCAGAACCTTTGGAAGAGCAACCAGTGCTCTTAACCACTGAGCCATCTCTCCAGCCCGATAGGGTTACTTTTGAACTGAGGGATCAAAACTTGCCCTTGCTCCCTAGAATTCTAGCATGAATTAGGTTGGGATATGGTTACTGTGAGAATGGGCTACAGTAGGACTCTGGGTTGGGGGAGCAGTTCTGTTAGCTAAGCTTACCTGTACATGAAGGGCGTCAGCATCACAAAGCATACTAGATATTGCCTGTCTTGTAGCCCCTACTCAGCTGTTCTTCTGAGCTGAGCATATGCCTATACTATGCCCTCACACAGAACTTGGAACCTGGTGAGTCTGATTCCCTATGGAATTCAGTGATGAAAATTAGGGCACTTGAATAGCTCTAATTGGCTGAACCGTGTGAAGGGCAGAAGCTTTCCCTGGGGGCTCTCTTTAATCTCCTATAGTTTTAGACTTTTAAGGTTGAACTAATTAAAACATGCTGGCAGTTGGACCCAATACTTTTCCTTGCACTAGGTTTTGTTTCAGCCTCCTGGAAGTCTAGCATTTGCCATAGACTGCCTTTCTTGAGGAGCAGGAGTGGGTTTCAATTTCCTCATGTACTAAATACACTATGATGTGACATTTGTCCCGTATAGGCTGCCAGACATCTGGTGGTGAAGTGAAATGTGTGCTGAGACCTGGATATGTCCTGGATTTGCTATTTTCAGACTACTAATATGCCCCTGAGGTTCATTTCTTATTTTGTTGTGTCTCCCCCCACCTCCCATGGGTTTATTCTGTTAGCTGGCAAGTAATTTCTCTTTTTTTGGAGTATCCTTCCCTGGTGTGCGTTCCTGCTCTAACCAGAAAAAGGAATAAGGAAAGGATATTTATTGAGTCCCACCATGTGTCATATCAGGCACAACTTTGTTTTGGGATATGCCTCATAATGTCTGTGTTATAGGCAAGGAAGTGGAGAGAAGGGAAAGTATGCCTGATGGTCATTACAGCTTGTTATCAATCAAATCAGAATTTAGGTATCTGTTAAGCTTCTGGTTACTTTCCCCAAGGTGGCATAAATGACCTCATGCTTTTGTTGTTGTTTTGCAGTCAATTGTTCAGATTAATCATGAATTTCTAGACTCAATGAATCTTCTATGTCAACCTCCCAAGTAGCTAGGACTTCGTATTTACCACTGTCTTGTTCTTATATCCTTTTATCCTTTTAAACCTAGCCAACTTCTCACTTTCAGGAAGTCGTCTCTAATTTCTAAAGTCAAACACTGATTCCTCTGCTCTCCTTAACTGACTTCTCCTATTTCTTCAAGGAGATCTGAATGAAGTTGTAAGGTTGGGATTTCAGCTGTCACGACAGACTGATGAAAGTCAGGGTTTGGGCAGAGTCTTGGCTAGTTCTCTGAGTAAAGTGCAGCCTGTGGTTTGCTTAGTGTGGTGTTTTATTCTGGATGCAACAGATCTCCTTCCAAGGGCATTCTGCTTCTCCAGAGGTAAGTATTATTTCCTTTGGGTTACTTTTCCTGGTGTGTGGCTTTAAAGTTACCTTTGCAGACAGTAGAGCTAGGCTCATTGGTATTAGGATAGAGGAGTATAATGAAGTTTCAGTTGCTGGACTTTGCCTGCTGACTGAATTTATTATTATTATTATTTTTTGCAAGGACATACTGAATTATTAACCCAGCATTTGGGACATATACTTTCTGTAACATTTGCTCTCTGAAATGCATCACTTCACAGAATAAATAGGCTTTCCTGGAAGAGGCAAGCATGTGTAAAGCCATTTTTAAAATAAGTTGAATTTTCTTTCTCAATGACTGGAAAATAATTGTAAAAGTATTTTTTTAAGCCTGTGGTAGTGTCGTACACCTTTAATCCCAGCACTTGGGAGGCAGAGGCAGGCAGATCTCTGAGTTTGAGGTCAACTTGGTCTACAAAGCAAGTTCCATGACAGCCAGAGCTATTACACAGAAAAAACCTATCTGGAAAACCAAAACCAAAACCAAAACCCAAACCAAACCAATTATTGGGGGCACTTTTCTGTGAAAATAGGATATATACTTTTAAAAAAAGTTTTAAAAAATGATCTTTAATTATGTGTAGGTTGTGTGGATCTGTGTGTGGTTAGGTTCATGTGAGCGCAGGTGTTCTTGGGGCCAGTGGTGTCAAATCCTTTGGAGCTAGAGTTACAGATGGTTGTGAGCTGCCTGAAGTGGCTGCTGGTAACTAAACCCTAGTCCTCTGGAAGAGCAACAAGTGCTCTTAGTTGCTGAGCAACCAGCCCCTTCCCTTCTATATGAAAAGTGGTAAGATAGAATATTAATTGTGGTGATATATTATTTATGATTTATTAAAGCTTGCCTGAGGATTCAGAAAGCAAAACCAGCCTCAAGCTATAGAGATCAGGCAAAGGTGATGCATACCTTTAACTCCAGCAGCCTTAGAGCTAGGTGGTGGGGATATATACCTTTAGTCTTAGGACTCAGGATTAAGAGGTAGATGGATCACTGTTAGTTCAAGGCCACCCTGACTACACTAAATTGATCTAGCATGAAAAGAAACAGTTCATACAAAGGTGATCTCAGCACCTGGAATCACACACCTTTAATCCCATCATTAGGAAGGTATATAAAACAAGAGCAGGGTCTCAGAGCTGGCATTCAGTCTGAGAGTTAGTCTCTAGCTACTTATGAGGAGAGCATAGCAGTCTGAGTGAATCTGAGGAACAGTGAAGTCAGGAGCATCTGAGGATCGCCCCTTTGGTCTGAGCTGAGGTAGAGGTGAGAGCTAGTGGCTGGCTACTTTGCTTTTTTCATCTTCAACTTGAAGCTTGAACCCCAATATCAAACTCTGGGTCTTTTATTTATTTGTGCTACAATTAATAATAAAAGTAAATGCTACAATTGGATGCATATCAGATTAAAAAAAGTTTTCTTTTGAAACAGGGTTTTGCTGTCTAGCCTTGGCTGTCCTAGAACTGGCTCTAGAGACCAGGCTGGCCTCAAACTCACAAGAGATCTGCCTGCTTCTGCCTCCAAGTGCTGGGATTAAAGGCATGAGCCACCACTGCTTAGCTACATAGCAGATTAAAAACAAAATAAAACAATCCCAGTGTGGTCCACAAAGTCTAAGACTGTCAGAGCTGTAAAACAACAACAACAACAACAGCAATTGAAACAGTTTTTAATGTAGTTCTAGGTTGTCTTGAAGCTTTCCAAGTAGCTGAAGTTAGTCTTGAATTCCTTCTGCCTCTATCTTCCCAGTGCTGAGATTATAGATGTGTGCCTCTATGGCCTGACTTTAGCAAGAATGTTTTTGCTGCTACTTATTTATTTTGATATAAAGGGAAATCTGAACTAACTTAGTGATGCACTCTTCTGGTTTCTCTGTACTGAAGAATATGAAGCACACTTTTTTTCTGTTTGATATTTTTTATTTAAATTAGAAACAGTCTTATTTTACATATCAAATCCAGTTCCCTCTCCCTCCCATCCTCCCATGCCTTCCACCAACCCCCTCTTTCCATGAAGCACTCTTTTTTTTGAGACAGGGTTTCTCTGTATTGTTTTGGAGACTGTCCTGGAACTCACTCTGTAGACCAGGCTGGCCTCAAACTTTCGGGATCCGCCTGCCTCTGCCTCTGCCTCCCGAGTAATGGGATTTAAGGCCTGCACCACCAATGCCCGGCTCCATGGAGCACTACTCTTGTTTTTTTGTTTTTTGTTTTTTGTTTTGGTTTTTACGAGACAGGGTTTCTCTGTATTGTTTTGGAGGCTATCGGTCCAGCCCAGCCTGGAACTCACAGAGATCCGTCTACCTCTGCCTCCCGAGTGCTGGGATTAAAGGCGTGCGCCACCACCGCCCCGCGGAGCACTACTCTTAGGAGGGAAGAGGAATGTATCCTGAGGTTAGAGAGCTGTGTGGAGCTGAGATCCTCTACTTAGTGCATCCTTAGGCTAGTAACTAAGCATTCTAGGTGTCAGTTTGCCTCTTAAATGGGAATAATACCTATCTTGTTTAATTTTAGAGAGATAAATAAAATTATTTATATGAAAGTGTTTTGAAATCTTGAAGTACTTTTATTTTCATACTTACTAGGTATCTGGAACCAGTTTGCTAACATTTCAAGGAAGCTTTTGATTTAAGATATGGCTTGACGTAGGTGGGAGGAAGGATGCAGAATTAATGGATACACAGTTGAATGCTGTTTGGGCAGCAGCTGTGGTGAGAGAAAGGCATGCATTCATTCCTGTAGTATGTATCTATTTTATTCTGCCTCGTGAAGGAGAAAGAAAACTGGTAAAATATAGAAGTTGCTTGATTTAGAATGAAAGCTCCAAAAAAAAAGGGATTCTTGTCTGACTCAGATGTTGCTGTAGATTCACCCAGGAGTAGTGCCTACTATGTAATAAACTGTCAGTAAATATTTGATGAAAAAAAAGAGTTAAGCTTTGGAGTCAGAAAGACTGGGTTGGTATTTGGGTTCTGCACTTTACTAGCTCATTTTCTGGGAAGGTCACTCAGATGTTTCTTTCATAAAATGAGACTAGGATTAGCTCTCACACAAGGTCATGAGGAGGCTCAACCAAAAACCCAAACATTTAAGAACCTTTGTCTAGTGCCTGGAGAGAGAGAGAGAGAGAGAGAGAGAGAGAGAGAGAGAGAGGGAGGGAGGGAGGGAGGGAGAGAGGGAGGGAGGGAGAGAGAGAGAGAGGAGAGATAACTTCAGTTCTAGGGGCTTTTACCCTCTCTTCTATCCTCTGAGTGTACCAAGCATTCAAGTGCTCAGACATATATGCAGGCAAACACCCATACATATAAAATATGAAAAAACAACCCAAAAGCAAACCACACTTTGTATAAAGCCTAACACATAGTTCTTTCTCTTCCCCCCTTTTTCTCTAACACAGGGTTTCTCTGTAGCTTTGGAGGCTGTTCTGGAACTGGCTCTATAGACAAGGCTGGCCTTGAACTCCCAAGTGCTGGGATTAAAGACATGTACCACCACTACCTAGCTAGCACATAGTTCTTTTTATCTTCTCTTTCTGGTTCATAAAGTGTAATAGATGCACCCAGGAAGAGGCAGAACTGTTTGTGAGGTTAGATTTGATCTGACAATGTCTTTCCAATGTATGAGCTCAGAACTATTGATGCTAGTCCCAGGGAGCCTCCTGGGACTAACCAGGGTCTCAGAATTGATATCCTCTGCTTTTCTGGATCTCCCAGATCTTGGTAGGAGAGTTTGAATCTTGTTCTTTTAGAGGTTACATTTACACTGTAGGTTTGCGCAGAGGTTGTTCTAAAGGAAGCAACTTCCACTGAAGA